AGCCAGGGAGCCCCGCGCTGAGGGCCGGAGGAGAGCTTTTCGGGGAAGGGGAACAAGTGCCGGGCGGGGGACTGGACGGCGGTGACTTGCAGGAGGAGGGGCGAGGACGGCGCCGGGAGGGAGGGGGCGAGGAGGATGGAGGGGAACCGACTTCATTGGTGAAACGGCTCGTGTCCTACCCCCACCCCATCCCGGTTTCCACACGAACACCAGCTCCGAGAGGCAGCTGGCGGTGTTCGGGGCTGAGGAGCGGGCTGTTCCGGGCGGAGGAAGCGTGTGTCACCGTGTGTCACTGTGTGTGTTGTGAGGGCTGCAGCTCAGCGGGCATGTGCTGGGGGCTGTGGGCAGTGAGGGGTGCTGCTGACGCTGGGCTGCTCGTGGGGCGGGGTGCACAGGTCTAAAAGGGTGCACACACACACACACACACACACACACATACCCTCCGGGAACACAAGCTCACGCGCCTTGAGGGATACACACAATTTGCAAGCACACATCCCAGTTTCTCATGGTCCTTGCTCTCCAGCACACACATGCGCATGTGTGGAAGGAACGCACACCCCCCTGCAGACTCTTCCCCTCGGTGCATCCATGACACACGTGTGACTACAAAGTCTTAGCCTCACACACACATGCAGGCCCCGTTGTGGGTGGGTAGGTGGGTAACCAGTCTCCAAATAATTTCTCCCTGCCGGGAGAAACCTCATCTCCTAGGGCCAAGCCTGCCAACCTCTGCTCTGGGTCTGGCCCCACAGATCAGAAGATTCTGGGTCCCCAGAAAGGAGTTCACCTCTCTCTCTCTCTCTCTCTCTCTCTCTCACGCACACACACACACACACACACACACACCCACACACACACAAATGAAGAAGAGCATCTTCTTTATAGTAAGTTCACTGTATTTTCTGTCAGCTCAGGGAGGTAGGGATGGGGAAGGGGCAGGAACACAAAGCAAGCAATGGGAGCTCTGGCAGCACCTGGGTGTGCTTCTTGGAAGAGGCAGGCTGGAAGGGAAGGGAAGGGAAGGGAAAGGGCAGAGGGACTGAGGGAGATTGTGAGAAAGACCGGAAGGAGAGGTAGAGCAGGCTAGGGATCCTGAGAACTGAATTAAGAGGAAGAGTACGAGTAACCTTAAGTCTCCTGTATCCTGAATGGTCTGGAGGGGGAAGGAGCTGAGCCATGTAAGGCAGGGGGACTGAAGCCCAGCACCATCACCCTTCCCAGGAAGTCCTCTCAGTGGGCTCACTCTTCCCCAGTGCCTGCCTGCCCTGGCAAGGCTCACCTTCCAGAAGGTTCTGTACAGGGTACGTGGTAGGTCCCTGGGAACTCTGCTCCCAGCCTGTGCCCTGAGCAGGAGAGCTGAAGGCTTTGTCCTCTGGTAACAGGATTCTGCCTCCAGCAGGCGGTGAGGGATTTTAGGCAGGAAGGCCCTCCTCCATGTTCTGACCTCCTGAGGCAGGCCTCCCCGAGGTGCTCCTGTGAACCCTAAGGTACATACTGAGCACCCGTGACTAGCCCGCTGCACAGATATGTGTGGTATCTGTTCTGTGTTCAAGAAACAGCCATAGAACTAGGGGTCAAGCAGTCTGGGCCAGTCTGGGCCCCAGCACTGACAACCTTGGGCAATCAATATGACCTCTGTGACTTCCATTTCTGGTCTATAAACCGGAGATGCTAATCTTGGTCCTGTCACTACCAGCCTTGTAGGATTTTCTTTTTCCTTTTTAAAATATATTTCTTTATTGATTTCAGAGAGGAAGGGAGAGGGAGAGAAAGAGAAACATAATGATGAGAGAGAACCATTGATCGGCTGTCCCCCACACGCCCCCCCATTGGGAATCGAGCCCACAACCCGGGCATGTGCCCTTGGCTGGAATCGAACCTGGGACCCTTCAGTTTGCAGGCCGACATTCTATCCACTGAGCCAAACCAGCTAGGGCCTTGTAGGACTTTCATAAGGTTTAAATAGATAAAGGATGTGGAACTGGTTTATAAACTGAGTGTGCTGCTTGGGTGATAAGGAATTGTGTCAGTGCACAAGTGTGAGCTGTGGACAAGGGTGTGTGTCAGAATGGAACGGTGGAGCGGTTAGAGCTGGACCTGTCCTTGATGGGCTGTGTGACCTTGGCCTACTCCCTGCCTTCTCTGGTGCCAAGGTTCTTCCCTGTAAGATGACAGTCCCGTGCTTCGTGCTTCAGTCACCCAGCCTCACACTCCAGGCCAGGCAGGGCTGGTCCTGAGCGCTCCCCTGGGATCCAAGTGGGCCGTGAGGGACAGAGTTGAGAAGAAATAATCAAAGAAGGGCGAGGGTTCAACAGAAGAGGGAATGGGGCGGGGGGGGGGGGGGGGCGCGAGTAAGCCTCTGGAGGAGGAGACCCAATGGCCAGCTCTGGACAAGGAGAGCAGGAGATGGCAAAGGCGCTGGGATCTGCTACATTCATCCGGTCCCCAGGCCCAGGAGCCCAATAGGAAACGCAGGGTAGACAGCTGGGGAGGCTGCAAGTGGGAAGCTCCCCCTGGCCCAGTGCCTCAAATGAGATTGCATGTCTTCTGGAACCGGCTGGAGGAAAAAAGCATAAGAGGAGCAAGGCTCTTCCTCCCCAACTCCTTGGAGTTCTAGGACCTCCATGGCCCCTCTTCTCTTCCAGTTTGGTAATGGCCTCTGGGCCACATCCTCCCTCCACCTTCTGCCTGATTCCTACCTCCTCAGCCATCCCGCTGTACCC